ATTTTATTCTATAATCTAATAAAATATTACAAACTGTAGAAGAAGAAAAAAAGTACCAGTTTTAGTTTCTTCGGCAGCTGTTCCTTTGCTGAATCTCTTTCCCTTTGCACTGACAAATGTATGATGAATTTATCCATGTTTATTAATATGCATCACTACCAGCTAGTTCAGGGCACTTTTAAGACTTGTGGTCTTCAACTCCCAGAATTCCTCAGCCCTCATGGCTGGTTGAGGAATTCTGGGAGTTGAAGTCCACAGGTCTTAAAGTTGCTAAGTTTGAAGACTCCTGAGCTAGCTCGTTGGCTCTTCTGAGCTCTTCCACAGTGTAGTAAGAATGCACCCCCCCAATCCCTTCCCTGTACCCTTAAAGACAGAGGAATCAAGTGCAAAGCAAGAAAATAAATAAACACAAACTCCGTTTTTTTCTCTCTTTAAGCTGCCTCAGGCCTGTTATGTGTCACAATGTTACAATCCCAGACTGAAAGGCTCTGACAATTGCAAAAAGCTTTAGCTTTAAATTAAGCTAGTTTACCTTCAAAGAAAACTTTCTAAAAGCCACAGACAGACTTAAGGGGATAAAACTAATTACATTTGTTTAAAGGGATTAAACCTTTCCTGTTGTCTTTTTTCCCCTTCCCCCACCCAAACCATGCTCTTTTATAGCCTCTACTCTCTTCCCTCCCTTTTTTCTTCAGTTCACCTCCAGCTCCAGCTGCTTCTGGAAACACCAATCAGCTGGAGCCCATCATCTGGAGCCCTGCAGGCTCCTGGGGCTTCTGCCGAGCCCAGCCAGTCCTGCAGCTGCAGCAGCCTCTCCCTCAGGTTTGGCTCGCTTCGGCTCATTCCTCTTCATTGCTACACATGGCTAGCAATCGCGTACCACCTGCCATGTGGCAAAGTACTACAAGTAGTACGCGTACCATGGGTTGAAAAGCCCTGCTCTAGAGTCAGACACGACTGGACAGGGAAACCTTTACCTTTACTTTACTATAATACTATGAAACACAGAATATAAAAATACCTATACTATTAGACTAAAGTCAAAATAAAATCACAGCTCAAAACAATAGCTCATCTAAACAAGATTATTTTAATTGTCTTATATTTTTTGTGTGGGTGTATATGTCTTTGAGTCAGTCTTGATTTATTGGCATGTCATTGAAGTACTCTTCAAGATTGCAGTTTTCCCCTTTGTCTTCTTAGGCCTGAGAAAGAATGACTGGCTCAAGGTCATCCAACAAGCTTTGTGCCCAAGGTGGGACAAGAATTCAAAGAATTCATTTCCCCAGTTTCTAGCATGGCACCTTAAGGTAGCTCTCTTTAATTTGCAATAGTTATAGCAGTGATGGCGAACCTTTTAGAGACTGAGCGCCCAAACTGCAACCCAAAACCCACTTATGCATTGTCGAGTGCCGGGTGGGTGTGGCCCATTGGCTGGGTGTGGCTGCGGTGGTAATGGCAGACTGGGTGGGACTAAAAAGTTCAATCAATCAATTTCAACTTTGCAAGATCTTTTTTTTTCCCGCGAGAAGTTGAAATTGACTGATTGAACCTTTTTTTTTGCACACGGCGGTGGAGGCCTAAAGCGAAAAGGTTTTATAAAACCCAGCTGAAGGCCTAGGACTGGGGTGACAGCGCTCGTACCCACAGAGAGGGCTCTGAGTGCCACCTCTGACACCCATAGCATAGGTTCGTCACCACTGAGTTATAGTAATATTTACAAAACATACAATTCAAAATTCAAATTCAAATAAAATGGATAAGATAAAATAGCAATATAACAAGAAATTTCTATAATGAAAGGTAACATAAACTACAATAATAATGTAAATTAATAAATTGTACAACTAAAATACCATAGTCCATGATGTAAAAATGCATTTCAAAACAAAATAATTACCACAACTTCAAAATCTGCATACTGAATCTGAAGTAATAAAAAAATTAGAAGTGATTATTCCTGGGAACTGTTTTGGTTTATTTTTTCAAAGTTATTTTTTCAAATTCTCCAGATTGGGTCACACAGAAGTTGTCAGGCCTTTGTGGATTGTCCTGCAGAAGAACTATAGAAAATGGGACCAATGTGGACAAGGTGTTCCAAAAAGGTGGGGCCATTATAAGAAAGATCTACTTTTGCATCTCTGTATCCTCAAATCTTTTGCAAGCAGTTCACTAAACAATTTTTTCCTAAATTGTACAGGATTCTTTTAAAATCTATTTGAATGAGATGTTTCCTGGTAATCGGAGGCTGTTCAGCATAAGGTTTTACAAATTAAAACCAACATATTGTCATAAAGAAAGGTCAGTTCCTACTTTACTCATAAATATATAGTGTATTCTACTTCAATCATGATCATCATTAGTAGTAAACATTAACAAATTCTTAAACAATGACAAAATCTAGAAAAAATATAGACCAGAGAATAGAAAACACTAAGGCAATATTTACATTGGAGTCATTCTGTACTTGTTTCTGAATAAATACAGTGCCAGTACTTCCCGGAGGAGAACAAAGATGTGAGGCCATCACTAAAAAAAGAAGCAAACTGATTTGTGGTTTGTGCTCTATATACACATTCTTTTTCCAATGTTTACTTCTAAAACTAGAATAATATACTATATACATTATATATGTGTGTGTAGATACGTATAGACATACACATATGCATGCATACATACGTATATACATTTACAATAGTGAGAGCACACAAGAAAAATATGAAGAATCAGGACAATTTCCAGAAGGAATAAAAAATACCACTAGATTTAGATTTGAGAAAATGTTGGGGACATCACATCAGCCTTAGTTGTTACCATCACTTTTTTCAATAAGAATCCATCATTGTTTTGCAAAGATGCTTGAACAATTTAATTTTACAAATGTTCATGTTAACTGAATCTATGGATCCACAGGTAGCTGGTAGAACATGATGATATTTGTCCGAAATGGTATAGGGTTTCCTGCCTGAGCAGGGGGTTGGCCTAGATGACCTTCAAGGTCCCTTCCAACCTTATTATTATTATTATTATTATTATTATTATTATTATTATTATTATTATTATTATTATTATTATTATTATTATTATTATTATTATTATTATTATAATAAAAATGAAGAACTGTGTATCATGATATCCAAATGCAAACTGAACCTTTTCTACCTGTACCCTCATGGCTGAAACAATTATGTAAATTATATTGTTTTCATTGCAACATTGTTATATGCTTTTGCCCCAACTTGCCCCAAGTTGGTCCTCTAGCCTAATGTCCAAAATAGAACCTAAGACGTTATCAGTTTTTATCCTATTTGAGTCTGATTCTCTTCTTATTTTAAGAAGAACAAAAGGGTAGATTTTAAATTATCTCTTTTATAGATATTTGGTAAGATATTAAGATAAAATATATTTTAAATAGCTTTTAAATAGCTTTTTGATGATTTTGATGAGTTTTAAAAATTTAGAGTGTGACAGAATAGTTCAGCTATAGTGGCCAGTACATATAAGCTTCCTATCTGTAATGGCTAGTTCAAGCAGTTACTTTAGGAAATCCAGTATAATAAGTGGGAGCAATAAATTAGTTGTCTAGTATGTTTTGTAACAAGCAAAACATATTAGCCAAAAAAGACACTAACAACAAACATCAAAATTATGTCCTTTAGACCAGGGGTCCCCAACCTCCGGTCCATGGACTGGTACCAGGTTGTGGCATGCCAGCAATCAGGCTGCACAAACAAGCAAAGCCCCATCCATGGGATGCAGGCAGCACACAAAACCATACACCCCCGGTCCATGGAAAAACCTCTCTCCATGGAACTGGTCCCTGGTGCCCAAAAGGTTGGGGACCTCTGCCTTAAACAATATAAGCATTAAACTCAGTGGCAGCCAATATTATACAACTAACATTAAGTTACACAATGGAAAAAGTTAAAGTGTGTTAAGCCTTCACACAATTTAACTCCCTTCTCATTGATGTGATTGAATAACTACTCTGCTCCCTCTGATCTTCAGAGTCTGAAAAATATAAGCAAAAGTGCATATTCTGCCTGGAAAATCATTTTCTGCCTATTTGATGTGAAATGAATTAACCATTTTCTAACAGTAATGTTTTATTTTTTTCTAATTAAAAGTTAATGATTTTAAATAATCTAATCCCTTTTCCACCCTCATGAAATAGAACTCAATACTATTTTTATTAAAAGATTTAAAGAAGTATTTTTATTTCTTATTCTCAGAACAGGACCCGAGGTGACAGATAAGATAAACTGTGTACTTCAATTTTGACATAAATCTGTGAATAACAGTACCTGAAGGAAAGAGAGGTTTCCACATATATTATTAAAGAAATATGGATGGGAATATTAAAGAATATATGGACTTTTGAAATACACAATATAAGGCCACTAAATAAAAAATACATAACTGATGTCCAAAGATTAAGAATAGTAGCCACTGACCAAAGGTAATTACAGGTAGTTGCTGAAAGAGCTTTGTGTTTCCAGAGAATTTTGGTTGAGCATCCTCCTTATTTTCAGATTTCCTTTCTCTTTCTTTCTCTCTAATTTTGTGAAGTGAGGAAGAATAAAAGGAAAAATGTTGCTGTAGTGCTATCTATTCCAAATACTACATTGAACTGTATCTCCACCATTGTGCCTAATAAATGGCTTAACTAGCTCCTGGTCACTATCTTTGACATTTAAAATGGCACATTGAGGTCCTGCCCCTTTTGGACCAAATTAAAACCATGATGTCCAAAGACTATTTCTGCTGTGAGTTTCTGAGTAATTATTACTAATCAAGAACTGAATCCTTTTACAGTTCCTTTGCTTTAAACAAGATAAATACTTTATATGCAACTTTATTCATTTCTTTCTCTTTATAATAGTTTTCTATCTGTTTTGAATCTTCCCTGTGTAAATTTCTCTGTGCTTCAGTCAATAAAGAAACAGAGTGAATGCTACTAGGGAAAGAGTTCTGCTACTTCTTTTTAAGAATTTACTTACCTTCTCTATATAATATTCTTTTACTTCAGGTAAAATAGAGTCAAAGTCCCCACTGATATAATCAGGCAGAAAACTGAAAGGAAAATAATAATATTCAATCAGTTCTTTTTAATAAAAGCATTACATTTAGAAATATTAAATAGTAACAAAGAAGCAGAATAGAATAGTGGATAAGTGCCAAACCATTAAAATAGCAGCATCATTATCTAGAATTAATATCAGATTAATAGCTACACATTTCTAATTTAATTTTCTAATGAATTGTAACAATTTGCATAGATGCCGAGATAAGCTAGATTCATAGCTAGGAAGAGAGGAATAGTAACTGTTAAGTCCGGAGAATAATGGCGCTTGAGACGAAGCATTTCTAACAAGTCTTTATTCTCTGCTTCCAATCTACGAACAACCCGAGCAGAGGCACGCAGGCCTCTATTTATACCTTCTGATCCCCGGGCAAGTTCAACCAATCACGAGGCGGTCTTTTCCCGCCTTGCGCATGCGCGCAAGGCCGGCGCCACTCAGTCNGTATTTGGGAGGGCCTTTGACCCTGAGCGACCTTCTCGGACCTGGGGAACTTGTAGTGTTTTCCCCGTGGCTTCCCACACTAGGTGAATTGCCCTGTGGTTGTCTTGTGACTTCAGTTTGACTTTCCTGCCCGTCTCTTAGGCTTGAGAAGTCAGAACTCTGTTGATCACTATACCTGGTTGACCTATCACCTATGGAGCTTTCCAACCCCTCTGAACTCATCTCCGTGTTCCCTGACGGAGTGTGGTTTTCCTGGCTCCTTCCTGTAGTGTTAGGGTCTAGGGATGCCTCCCTGTTAGCCCTTATACATGGGGACATCCTTCTATGAGCCATTTCAGCAAAGGACGTGTTTCCCCTCTGTTTTTCCTGCTCTCTTGCATGTTGTGAGTTGTGAGTATGCTCCCAGTTATTCTCCGTGTCTGGAGTATTATTTGTGAGGTGTGGATAATTAGTATACCTCCGGTGGGACTCCCAGGCTGGAGTGTGTGTGGGAGTGTCAGTGTGCCCCCGTCCCCATGAATGGCTACCTGAATCTCCTGTGGAACTTGGGTGTTGAGAACCCGTGTCGTTCCCCACAACCGTTGGTGGCAACAGATTTTGATTCTCAGAATGCATTCCCCCTACCTCCCCCCCTAGAGGAGACTGAGGGGGAACCCCAGGCGAGTCCCGCCTCACACGTAATTGATCAATGTGGCGGCGAAGAACGCGGCCGTCTTCCAGGGACACCTCATAGGATAGAGGCCCCGAGACCTTGCAGACCACAGCCGGGACCCAGAGGTGTCCAGGCCCGTAGTTTCTGGCCCAGACAGGATCGCCTTCACGCAGGACCTGTGGTGGGTGTGGCTGAGACACCTGTGAAGCTACACGCTCCAGATGCAGCCTGTCCAATTTAGTCATGAGCCGACGACCCCAACGGAGTTCAGCCGGGCACTTACCCGTGGCAGTGCACGGAGTAGTATGATGAGCTAGAAGAAAGTCAGCCAACCTGTGATGCCAATTGCCGTAAGTCAGCTTTTTGAGGGCGTCCTTGGCGACGCGAACCATCCGTTCAGCCAGACCGTTGGTGGAAGGATGGAAGGGAGCCGAAGCAGCATGGCGGATCATGTTGGCCTGTAGAAATCCCTGAAACTCAGTAGAAGTAAATTGAGGACCGTTATCTGACACCAGAACATCTGGCAACCCGTGTGCAGCAAAAATGTTTCTCAACACTTGAA